TCGTTCCCAGTGCTCTCCTGCACTTTAGTGCTTGCTCATTAAGGGCTCACATATTCCCACTGACCCTCTGTGGGCATGCTGAAGTTAAGCATACGCTTAGTGGCTTTGCTTGGCTCCCTTTGGAAGGGAGCCCTAAACCTGCTGCTCAAATAGAAAAATAAGAGGTCAGACTTCCAATAATAGGTATAAGAGGACCATCTGAAATAGGAAGGTCTGTAAGTTTGTCTCAGGATATCAAGGAATGTCTTGGGAGTGGATCCCAAGTTGACTGTACTACAAGTTTCTGGTAGAAATGAGCTACCTCCTTGCTGTGCTTTCGTTGGCAACAAGGGAACATCATAAACTCTCAAGGAATTTTCAAAATTGGCTATGGCTTGTAATCCAATACTTTGGGAGATGCCTGAATTGGGGTCATCTTACCATGATAGCACATGCTGTAGACCATGTAGCTTGGGACGTGCAGCATGTAAGCAAGTGTTCTGCCTCCCGAGGCACCTCATGCGCACCTGGCCAAGACCAGGAGGTGCTATGTAAGCAGCACTGTGGTTTACAGCCTTTTCCTTCCCATGGGAACTGTCTCAAAGATTACAGACTCCAGAACTAAAGGGTACAATGCAATTCAGTTTGGCTTTGCTGTGCTTATTCTTTCCATACCACCACAGTTATGTGTAAGGTTATAAGAATATTTATTTATTTATTTTTAATGCAGACCAGATTTTCTTCTGGTATAAAACAGTTATTGTTTCTGGAAAGACTCAGATGCTTCAGGCCTTTTGAAAATCTCCAAATATTTTTTAGCTTATTGTTTCTTTAAATAAGGAAGTTTCTGTTATTTAAGGTCTGATGAAATTCTCATCTTGTAGGCAGCATAGGGAAAACAGTTATGTAATGATGTTATGGTTTCATTTTGCATTGTTGTATTCAAAAGTTTAGGATAACTTTAGAATCACTAACTGTATACGTGGAAGAGGGCTGAAGGAGAAGCATGTAGGTGAGGTAGGTTGAACCACCTTTGACTGCTTGTTCATGGTGCTCTGTTTATAGAGGGGGTAGCTAAGGCCTATTTATAGCCAGAATGTCAGAAATGCCAAACTCCTTAGAAAAGAAATCCAGTCCCTGACCCCGTCAACCCTGGGCCTAACTCCCTCCCATGCTTTGAATTTGCAGGTATAAAATGAGATTGGCTCTTTACTGTTTTCTAAGGGGCCCTGGGGAAAGGTCGATCTTTGGAAGCGGCACTGACTGCCAGTGGCACCCTGCAGATCTGACAGTCTCTTGCATCCGAGCACTTGCTAATCCACCTCATTTAAAAAATGATGGCACTGCACGTGGTGGCAGGTTTATCTTATTACAGTTTTCCTTTTGAATATAGCAAGGATTGACATTATGAAAGCAGAGTTCGCCTGTCTTCCCTCCCAAGTGAAGATAAATGACATCATAAAAATCAGACATCATGTATCATATATGTTATAAATAATACCTGGTACTGAGGTAATAACTTAATTTTAAAGACACACATACACACCAACCCATATATCTACATCTCTCTCTTCTGTCATATTTGATCATCTTACTAATTAAAAGGAGCCTGCTATATTATTTTTAGCCATGCAGTCTCAGCCTAGCTGTTTAAACCACTGTAGTTTCCCATCTGCTTTAGAAATGATTTAATAATCAGATAGACAGAAGCTTAGTTCTCATAAGCTGAGATGATCCTTCAGGGCCAACAGTAGAAGGAAAATATATTTTAATGAGTACATTTAGAGAAACCACTGCTGCTTTCATGTTGCAAAAGAAGCCACCGAGTCACTGCCTAACTTATGCTGGTGGCCATTTACATTTAATAAAAAGGGAAACCGATGAGGGTTTCTTGGCTCCTGAACTGAGTAAGCCCTTTACCTGAATAAGGTATAGAAGCTTCTATGTCTTTTCCTTTAATTGATGGATGGAAGTGAGAGCTGCACAACCTTGGTGAAGTTGGAAGTGTTTCATGGCAGAGCTTGGGCCGAAGCAATAGCAGGACCTGTCCTTTCCCATGCCAGAAAGTGCCATGAAGTAATGTGATAGAAGGATGTGTACTGTGGGTGTCTGAGGTTACCAATGCCAAACTCTTGTCTAGGGTGAGTAAAGAAACTATGGGAGACAATAAATATATGTGTGTGTGTGTATACTTTTGGAGTCTATAGGAAATTCCTTCACTCGTACTTCTCCCTCCCTCCTTGCTCCGGCAATGACAGCCCAGTGCTGTATATACTGATGTGTGATTTGTGCAGGCCTAGCGCAGCTGCCTGCAGCCTCTGCTTGCATGTGGTAAACTGCAGGCTGTGTTTTATGTTCCACTGTTACAGTCTGTGAAGTGGGCAATACTTAATGAGGAAAGGAGCTCTCCTGTCAAGTCCCAGGGGAATGTGAGTGTACAGGAAGACTTATTTTGCATTAGCAAGACATTATTTTAAAGCTAGAGTAGTAGAAAACATTGGATGTAGAAATGAGATGTGGTATGGAATGAATCAAGAAACCAGATATGAAGAACAGGTTGGTGCAGCTTCATTGACCATAAGAGACAGAACTGCAGTAGTGAGAGGGCAAAACCTGGTAAGCAGGAGTGTCTGTAGTCCTTGCATTAACAGCAGCTGGACCATTTTCTATTTCCATCCATGAGGGACCCTTGTGGGCAAAGTCAGAGACAGACATCTCAGCAGCTGAGCAGCCAGCATCACTCCTTGGTTTCTCATGCAGGGATGGCTTTTGCAGGAACAAAGATAAACCTTAAGAAGTTGTACTTGATATAGTTCATGCTCTGTGACCAGGATGCTTTCTGTTTAGAATCTAAAATTCTGTCTTCCTCACAGTAACAATAATGGGCATTTTCACAGTAGTGCTTCATCTGCTTTATTGGGGTAAAGTTTAGATTTAGTCTGCTTTTTGTGGTATCTTCCAACTGTTTCATATTGAACTATCCTTGACTCAGGAAGTTTGTTAGATACCAGGACCAGTGCTTTTGTCCTTCAGCCCACAAGTGTGAAGTTCTAAAGAAATGTAGACTGTGATGAAGTCTAGTGCCCCTAGGAAAGATGTCAAGAACCCTGTTGTCTTTTTGTGGGCTTTTTTTTTTTTTTAAACTGGTTCTAAGTTTCTGCAGAACAGAAACACACCATTCTGGATAGGGATATACCCCTATATCTTTAATGCAGGATGGCAAAGAAAAGCATCCCTAAAGTCCGTAACCTCTCCTTTGAGAGGACCCTTGCTGATGTCTGTGTCATCTTGATCCCAAACCCACTGCTATCAGTGTGAACAGAGACTAAGGGAATAGTCAGAACATTGCTCAATTCTGTTTAAATCTGGCTGCTGGGAACAATTTGGAATGGCTCTGAAACTGCTCTAGCTTTCTCTGGGATCTGGACTTGCCACCAAAATTGATTGACAAAGTGCTTTTGTGTGTGTGTTTATGTGAAACATACTGTGATATGTGGGATGCCACTGTAAGACTATTAGATAATCTAAAGTCCCCCTGGTGAAAAGACAATGAAAGCTGATATATATTTGTATTAATGATTTATACCTTCTGATGATGATATAGCTGACTTTAAATACTAGACTCCTGTGGTATTTTTATTACACTCACTGAAGAGGTCAGTTTTGTGCTGAACTCTGTGGCTGTACATGCATCCAGATGCTCCACAGGACCCACAGGAGTCAATGAAATGCAGAGATGATTCAGTCCCATGTTTACCTGTGGCTCGCATTTATACATTTACATTATACAGCTCTGATAACCTTAGTGTCTCCCCTACCTGTGTGGCTGTCCTGTCTTAGCTACTGTCAACAGTCTTCTGTTCCCCATTCTGTGTTGTTACCCTTGTTTTTGCTACTGCTTTTCCGTCTTCCTGATCCTCAGCTTCATCCCTGATTCTCGGCTACTGCACCTGACACCCGCTATTCTGGTTATGTCCTCTCTTTGTCTACTATTGGATCAAAGTCCAAGTCACACTCCAACAGTCCTTTTCCTATACTTAATTCATGAGTATTGTGTCGCACATGGAAAGTGTTGATGGGATCTTACCTTTCTCAGGTAAATTTTGTGATATTTTGCACAACTGTCACTGCTGTATTACAAATACTAACCATGAATACAATGAAGAAAGCATCAGACTGGAGAGGAATTGATACCTTGTGCCATCAGGATTCTCTTTTTAACTGATTTCTTCGGCAATTTTATAAAGCTGACAGTGCACCTGTACTTACCCATCACCTTCCCAATTCTGCATAAGTTTGTTGACAGCCTATGAGGGCATGGAAACTATTCACGACCTGCAATACAATAAAGCCAAAAGTTTAAGCTGTTGTAACAAGACAATGATGGCATATAAAGTGTGGCAAGTATAATAATGATACACTGAGATTCTGATGAAGTGGCTGTCAAGAACAAAATTAGGAAGGAAGGTTTTTAGGAAGGGATGCCAAGGTTCCTTAGATTCTGCACCAAGGAAAGCCATCTGTATTGTTCTTTTGAAAAATATTTTACTTAAAACAGAAATCTGCATGCTCAGTACTTGAATTATTAATGAACACTGGCTTTTGCCTCGGTAAAGACACTTGTATTATGTAGGTGGTGGAAAGCATCAGAATGTACCCAGGGCATGAGGACATCCAGTCAACATTCACAACTTCTCATCTCTTTGTTCTCTTGCATATGGCATTAGTTGGTACCTAACACTGTTGAGGACCATGTGCATGGCGTGTACGGTGGCTCTTCACTGCATGCTTGAAGACACAACGTCTGTGCCCGGTATCTGCATTGCACCTCCTCTGCAAAAGTCCGTGCTGCATGGGTCGATGCTGCATGTTGTTCTGCTCAGTAAATGGTGGGTTGCATATATTGCATGTATGCTGCGTAGTCCATTCTATATACAGGGGCTCCTTTAAAAGATAAGTATTGCTAGTTACTGGTGGATGAGTGATTCTTCACTTCCCTTCCTAAAAATATGGCTGTGTAGTGTTGCTGGCACAGAGTGGCCGCTGCGTTACGCCCCGGAGGTCGCTGCATTCCAGCGGTGGGTGAGTGACCCCTATATATATAGTTTGTGAAGTGCTTTGGGATCCTTCTGCATGAAAGGTGCCATATGAAGCTCAGGATATACCTGCTATTCATTTACTGTCTTTTATTCCAGCCATCCCCAAACTCTGAGAGAGAAAGCTTTGTACTGTCCCCCTGCAGAGAACTGTAGCTGCCAAATTCAGATGCAAAATCCCCTGCCCTAACAAGGTGTCCAGCAGGGTTGTTTAGACCCTGCTGTGACTTTAGCCAAGCTGATTCTAATACTGCAGAGGGGCACCATGTTTCAGGGGTGTTTCTCCTTTCCTCTGCCCGCACAAGGTATTTCACATCTGGTTCCCAGTTCCACTGAAGGGAATTAAATGAATTGAGTCCATTGCACACAAAGAGAACCCACCCTGCCTGAAAGCTCAACTGGCAACAGACAGTAAGGATATTTTTTCAAAGTGGCATGAAATAAACCTTTACTACACCACTGCATGCTGGCTGCATTGATTTAACAGCTGATTACTTGGAACAGAGAAGGATATAAGGAATTTATGCTTTATGAGAAAATTTACCATTTTCCTTTTTCTTTTCTTTTTTTTTTTTTTCCTCTATGAATGAAAATTCCAAAAACTGTTTTAGAAGCATTGACACATTGTGTTTCTGAGAGCGAGTGTGCTGCTGGGACTTGGCAGTTGCTAAGTGGAATAGTTGTAATTCTTCTCAGCTTCGCAGCTGCTCGGGCCTCGGTAGCAGCAGGGAGTCTGCCTCTTCCAAGGCCTGGGTTGCTGACCTTAAATTTGGATGCTCAGGTGTCCCTAGCATTGTGGCCGTTCAGTGCTGAGGGTATGCTGGAAATTGGGTGCATGGAGCTTCCCAGGGAGACCCAGAGAAATAGGACTGGCGTTTTGCTTCCCCAGGGCCTCATTCTCCCCACCAAGGCGCCAGGACCAAAGCTGGGAACAGAGCCAGAGCTCCCTGTGCCTCCCCAGTCCTGTCTCTTTGTTGAGGAGGAGGAGACAGGCCCTTGCTGCCTAGCCCAAGGCAGTCCATCTGGCGGGGCCGAGGTCCCCCACGTGGGCACATTGCGGCGTGCAAGGCCTCCACAGCAGTTAAGTGACCTGGGAAGATATCGCAGGGGTTACCTGGCAGATTTGAGCTGAACAGACAGGTTGGTGTCCCTGCAGAGGCCCAGAGTTTCCGGCTGTTCCTGTGAGATATTTCCCATACCGGCTTTAGTGTCCTTCTTGGAAGACCTCTCTTCTGCAGCCTGCCTTCCCCCTTGGGACACATAGGTTGACAGGCAGTCTTCCCAAGCTGGCATGACCAAGTGGGTTGCAGAGGAAGGAGGTAAAATTTACAAGGGCCCCAATAAAATAACTAGGTGCACACAGCAAACCATAGTTTGTACATGACTAAGCTACCCTCACTAGGGAAGCGCTTTGATGAGACAGACTGTGGACCTTCTGCCCTAGCCCAGCACTGTGGTAAGGACTAACCTCTACTGCTGTATGGTTTCTCAGGGCCCTCCTTTGGTGCGATAAGTTTAAGCAGTTCCTAGGCTGCTTTAATGCCAAACTTGGCTCAAACATATTCTCAATTTCAAGGAGTCCAAAGTACTCCACACTGGAAGAGGAGCTTTCTCTTGTCACTGGTGGGATGCTAGCAGAGAGCTGATGGAGGTGCTCTTGGAGTAGGTGACTGCTCCGTGGAGTTCCCCGTTTCGTACATCTTCCTGTTGTACTGGGATTTCTCACAGTGAAACACAATACCTTGCTGGGAAGTGCAGGAAATTCTCAGAAAATAAAGGGGTGCAGGTAACGTCGGTTTTAATTGGGCTCCAGCACTGATTTGTTCACGCAGTGGTATAACTTGAAAGAGAAAAAGCAAGAGCAAATGTAGAAACCTAATCCGTGGTTTAAGCAGTTGGCTTATCTGTGATCAGCCATAAGGGACAGCGACTGAGTTTGACTTGCTAGTCAAGCCTTGCAGGAGGAGCAGGGCCCCTGTGCAGTGTTTTGGAGGAAGCTCTCGAGACTGCTCTCCTGTGAGTGGGTGAGCACCGCTGCGAGCGAGTACCCACCTGCGCTCTTACCACAACAGCCGCCTTGCACCTCTGGTTCTCGCTCTGTGTCAGCACGACGTTCATGGTATTCTGCACTGCCTTTTATGTGCTAATTTAAGTGAAATTTATGTCTGCTATTAATTTCCGTGTCTGTGTTTATTTTGTGTTGAACTAAGTTATTTTTCTTTATTGTTTATGTTTTTATCTCTTTTTCATGTTTTAATTTATGTTACTTTATCCTTTGTTTGCAATGTATCTTTCAAGAAAAAAAAACTAATAAAAAATATTTTAAAATGCTGCAAAAATAAAATTTCCCTAGACTATGCAGTGCAGTGTAGCATTAGAAAAAATCGCAACACAAACAGCAAGGCTGGAAGCCTTCCTTTTCTTTAGGAGGAAGGCTTGGTGGCAGGACATGGCTTGCCTGTTGATCTTCTCGGAGTGCATTAGCTAACGGGTACAAAGTCCAAGCTGTGCGTGTCAGTGTGTGAAAAACCTCAGCTTCCCGCTGATGGCAGCAAACTTTGTGGTGGAGTCGCAGGCCGGCCGTGTTCTGCTGGAGGAGGCAGGGAGGGAAGGGGCAGCGCCGCTCCAGAGGAGATGGCTTCTCCCCTGGGAAGGTGCTGCCCCGACCAGAGCAGGCAGGGAATGGCCTGGGGAAAGGGCAGCACCGTGGCTGGACAGAGAGGCGAACACCAAGATGGAGAGAGCACACAAAATACGAAGCTGGCGGCTGGCAGGCTTGGAGGGTTCAGCACGAGAGCGCTTGGGTGCTGGTTTGGGGAGCTGCAGTGGCCGGGGGGTCCCCG